GATCCTGGGCTCCCTCCAGGGCGCGCTCAGGGCTGCTAGGAGCGGCTCCATTCCTTTCCGCAGGCGCTTCATTTTCCTTTCTTTCAGCCTTTGCTTCAGAGGAAGGAACACTGACAGCTGAGGCCACTGGCCAAGGGCACCCAGCTTGGTGGGGCAGGGCTGCCATCTGAAGCCAGGTTACACAGGGGCCAGAGAGAGGGGCCAGAGCCACTGTTCCCACACCCCAAGCGAGGGGGCAGGCTCCCCTGGCGGCACAGGACTTGGGGGTTCATGGGGGCCGGCACTGTGGTGCAGTGGGTTAACACCCTGGCCTGAAACGCCGGCATCCCATATGGAGCCGGTTCTAGTCCCGGCTGCTCCTCTTCCAATCCAGCTCTCCGCTGTGGCCTGGGAAAGCAGTGGAAGATGGCCCAAGTCTTTGGGCCCCTGCACCCACGTGGGAGAGCCGGAAGAAGCCCCTGGCTGCTCCTGGCTTCGGATCGGTGCAGCTCTAGCTGTTGTGGCCATCTGGGGAGTGGACGATTGGATGGAAGACCTCTCTCTCTCTCTCTGCCTCTCCTCTCTCTGTGTAACTCTGATTTTCAAATAAAATAAATAAATCTTTTTTTAAAAAAAGAACTTGGGGGTTCTGGCTAATGAGCTAACGGCTCCTCTGAGCCTCAGTTTCCTGCTCTGTAAAATGGGTGAAGTCTCCTTTCCTGTTATCAGAATCAGAAAGGTTTCGGGAATGAGCTCTTTCTCTCCTCCCACACCTTCCTCCGCCCCGCCTGGTGGCAGCTCGCCCCACCCTCTGGGAGGAGGCCCCTGGCGGGGCGGAACAGGCAGCCTGGAGGGATTCATTAAAGGGTGGAAAAGCAGAAGCAGCAAGGTTCCCCAAGTCCCAGCCGTCCCCCCACTTCCTCTCCACCTGCCGCGGCTGCCAGGACCCACCTGCCTGGAGCCACTGCCACCCAGCGGCCATGAGGAGCCTCCGGGGAGCCGCTGAGCACCTCGTCCGGATCGGGTAGGTCTGGGGACTCCACACCGAGGGCCACAGGCAAGAAAATGGTGGGGTGGGGGGCTCAGTGAGTTGTGATGGCTGAGACCAGATCTCAAGTTGTGCCACCACCTGGCTGTGTGACCTTGGGTAAATCCTCACTTCCCTGAGCCTCAGTTTCCCCATCTGTGAAATGGGAATAACAGTGATGTCACGGAGTCTCCTTGAGACTTGAATGAGAAGACCCTGGCCCAGGGCGTGGCGTGAGCTCAGCTGATTGGCTGTCATTAGCGTATCCAGCCAGAGCCCGCCTCCTGATGTGACAGGGGACTGGCTTAGCGCTGTTCCACTAACTGAACTGGCATCCCAGCTTGTGAGTTCCAACGTGAGGGCCTCCTCTCCCACTTCCGCTCAGCCCTGCCACGACCACAGAGCTCGCCCTCAGGAAGTGGCACCTGGTGCTCACGCACAACCCCCCACGGTCGTCTCTGACTTCCACAGGCCACCCACCCGCGAGTCTTGATGGCCTGGCCAGCAAGCTGTCCCCGCCGCCCTCCCTCCTCCCTCTGCCCCCTGCCAGCGCTCCTCAGGGCAGCTCTGCGGAGGCAGGGATGGCTGTGTGCAGCGGGCATTCCTGCCCCGCCAAGGGCTGGCGCATAGCAGCTGCTTACCACGGGTTTGATGGATGACAGCATCAGAATGAGAGAGAATTCCTCAGGGACCAACTGGTCTACCCTAGAGTCAGAGCGGAGGCCTGCACTCCGCAGGAGACAGGGATACCCTGAATCGCAGAGCCCAAGACTGTGAATGCAAACACAGCACGCCTGTCTGCGTGTCTCGCTCCGTGATTCTCCCGTGCTGTGGGTGGGGCCAGGCCTTCGTCCACACGTGCTCAGGAACTGCATGGAAACTGGGCTCCTCCCTAACATCTCCAGTTGGAACCACCCTGGGGAAGGCTCTCTCTGATTGGCTCAGCTTGTGTCACATGGGTGTAGAGCGGATGACCCTGATTGGCCCTCCCGGGAAACTGCCTGCCCCTTGGCTGGAAGGGTGGAGCCTGCGGGTAGGCGACCCACCTCTCCTGATGGAGGCTCTCCCTGGTTTCCTTGTGTGCAGGTGGAGGCTCTGGCACTTGGGGGTCTGCAAGGTCCTCTCCCCGCTGCCGGCCGCCTGGGGCGCATTCTCCCAGCCTATCCCAGCCAGCTGTGGCCAGCTGCTGACCCAGCTCCTCCTGTGTGGCTCCCTAGCTGTGGCTGTCGCCGGTCTGGCCCATCACTGGCTGGTGACCTCGCTGCTCTACCCTCTGGGACCCTCGGCCGTGGTGGCCACCGTGTGTGGCCTCCTGGTCTTCCTGGGCCTGGGCCTGGTGCCCCCACTTCGCTGCCTGTTTGCACTCAGCGTGCCCACCCTGGGCACAGGCCAGGGCCGCCGGCTCCTCCTGTCCTACAGCACAGCCACCTTAGCCGTTGCCGTGGTGCCAAACGTCTTGGCCAATGTAGGCGCAGCCGGGCAGGTGCTAAGATGCGTCACCGAGGGCTCCCTGGAGAGTCTGCTCAACGTCACTCACCAGCTGCATGCGGCGTCCAAGGCCTTGGGTTCTGCAGCCGCCGTGGCCGACCGGGGCCTGACCGTGGAGGCGCAGGGCAATGGCTCTGCCTTCCGGCTTCACCTGCTCAGGGCGACTCAGCAGCTCCTGGACGACTTCGCTGGCCTGGAGTCCCTGGCCCGGGCAGTGATGCTGGGGACCCAGCGGGTGGTCACCGCGCTGTTCCTGATGGGTCTTCTGCTGGATGCAGCCTGGTACCTCCATCGCTACCTGACGGACCTGCAGTTTGACAACACCTATGCCACCCACCAGCTGACCGAGCTGCTGGCGCAGGCGGGGGCCACGCACCTGCTGAACCCTCCCCCGAGCTGGCTGCTCCAGACAGGCCGGCCAAAGCTGTCCCGGGAGGAGCTGCTGCACTGCGCCCTGAAGCTGGGGCTGCCCGCCCTGCTCCTGGTGGCTACGGCAGTGACGGTGGCCACAGACCACGTGACCTTCCTCCTGGCACAGGTGGCTGTGGACTGGGCCCAGAATTTGTCCACGGTGCCCATCACGCTGAGCGTCAAGTATGACGTAAGTGATGGAAAGCTGGGGGTGGAGTCAGCTCTTGGAGGAAGGGGGTGGGGTTTGCCGAATCCTTGACTGCAACGGCAGCTTGCTGGGCCCAGGTAGAGCTGTGGGCCCCGGGGCTCAGGTTAGAACAGCCATGTGCCTGTGCTCCCCAGCTGTGGTGCGGATGCTTCAAGGCCACTGTGTGCCACCTTCGTTTTCCTCCTTCATACAAGTCAGATCAGTTCTCCCTATGAGGCGATGATGAGTCTGCACAGGTACCCAGCAACCTCCCTGGGGAGCACAGGTGTTTCGTAGACAGCGGCTATTCCTCACGGCACGTGTCTGTGCGTGTCCGACTGCAGGAGGCCCAGGCATGGGCTCCATCATGACTCAGCCCACTGCAGCCCCCAGCGCAAGTCCAGCTGGCTTCCTGGTTTTGTAAATAAAGCTTTATTGGAACGCAGCACCGCCATTTATGTATTGCCCTTGGCAGCTCTAGCAACAGGGACTGTGCAGCCCCCAAGCCCTAACATCTTCCCATTCTAATGATACCACACAACACATTTCCCATCTTCCTGCTGGTAGGGCAACAGAGTGTGGCTTTGGCCACACCTCTTTTCATTGTTTATCTTAATAGATCCCACCCAAAAGCCATAAAGTATACCCAAGTTTAATACCTTAGGTAACAGCATTAATAACATGTTTATTAAGTACCTATCAAATACTAGGAAAGCGATCTTCAAACCACATGAATTCAATTTACTCAGTGGGGAGTATCATAGCCATATGTGTGTGTATATATATATATAGAGAGAGAGAGAGTGAGAGAGCGAGAGAGAGGGAGGGAGGGGGAGAGAGAGAATATACTAGAACATCATTGGTAGGGGATGAGGGTACACGTTGGTTTGTTAATTTCTTCTTCAGCCACACCCAGTGTGTGCTTGGAAGGTGCTGTGGGGTGGGCTCCTCACTGCAGGAACCAGCGGTGGGCATGGCAGGCAGTGCTCTGCGGGGGCGCGCCGCCTCTCTGGGGCAGGCTGAAGCCAGGAGCCTAGAACTCCAACCAGGTCTCCTACGTGGGTGGCAGGAGCCCAGGTACTTGGGCCATCTTCCACTGCCTTCCCAGACGCATCAGCAGGGAGCTGGATTGGAAGTGGAGCAGCAGGGACTCCAACCGGTACTCCTATGGGATGCCGGTGTCATAGGTGGTGGCTTTACCAGTGCCCCGCACGCCAGCCCGTTTCCAGCATTTTCTCCCAAGCTGCGGGCACCCACTCGGCTGGTGTTCTGCTCCTGCAGGGAAGCACGCGCAGGCCACGCCCACTCCTCGGCGCCTTGCCCTTGGCTCATCTTTGGCGAGAGCTTTGGGGATTTCTCCTACTTCAGCTGACCCATTCGGGCTATGGCAGGCCACCCGTGGGCACGTGGGTCAGGGACCACACAACCCAGCTCTGTCCTGCACGAGCCCCCTGTGTAGCTTACTGTTTTGCAAGGAAACAGGCAAAAACGTCACCGCTCAAAAAGTGCGTCAGTCATGCCTCAGAACCGTGGGCGCCCAGATCCACAGCCGCGCAGCTCCCTTCTATGAAACAGTACAGGATTTGCACGTAGCCCGTGCACGTCCTCCTGTATACCTGAGATCATCCATAGGTCACTTACAAAACTGAATGCCATGGAGATGGCGTGGGAGTCGGTGCTAGACTGTTCTAGACTGTTCCGTGCAGGGAATAACGCCAGGAAAACGTGACGTCCGTGTTCAGGGCAGACAGCAGCTTCGCAGGTCTGACGCCACAGCTCACACCGGTCTCACTTTTCCCCGGGTGTTTTCCATGCACGTGGAAGCCACAGGTAGGGAGGGCCGAGGTCGCAGCTCCACTCACAGCACAATCCCCTGCCCTTGATTTCCATGGACACAACAGCCATCCACTTCTTTTAAGATTTATTTCAATATTTATTTGAAAGATGGCACAATTCAGAGAGAGAGAGAGAGAGAGAGAGATCCTCCGTCTGCTGGTTCACTCCCCCAAATGACCACAACAGCCAGGGCTGGGCCAGGGTGAAGCCAGGAGCTTCCTCCAGGTCTCCCGTGTGGGTGCAGGGGCCCAAGCACTTGGGCCACCTTCCGATGCTTTAGCATTAGCAGGGAGCTGGATCGGAAGCAGAGCAGCCAGGATTCGAACCGGCGCTCTGATACGGGATGCCAGCATCGCAGGTAGCAGCTTAACCCACTGCGCCACAACAGCGGACCCAGCATTCGCTTCTAAAGCAGAACCTTTGGAAGACATTTGAAAATAGCACTCGAACTGCACCCATGCACTGACAGTGCTCCCCGATCGAAGCGGCAACACGCACAGTCAGGCCACGGGGACGCCCGCCTGCGGACAGCCGTTACCGGCCGTGCTGCCTCGGAGACGCACCCTGACTTCAGGGAGGTTAAGCTGTGTAGAGGCAGGAAATCACACAGTTCACTTCATTCCCACCATGATCCTTGCAGGAAGGAATTATTTTTTAAAAAAAGATTTTACTTATTTGAGAAAGAGAGGGAGAGGGAGAAACAGAGAGAAAGGTGTCTTCCATCCCCTGGTTCACTCCCCAAAAGACCATAACAGCCAGAGCTGGGCCAATCCAAAGCCAGGAGCCAGAAGCTTCTTCAGGGTCTCCACGCAGGTGCAGGGGCCCAAGGACGCAGCCATCTTCTACTGCTTTCCCAGGCCTTGGCACATGGCTGGATCGGAAGAGGAGCAGCCGGGACTCGAACCAGTGCCCACTTGGGATGCTGGCGCTGCAGGCGGAGGCAAAGCCTACTGCACCACAGTGCGGGCCCCCGGGCAGGAATTATTATCAGCTCCGTTTTAGGGAAGCTGCCTCGATTCTTCCAGCCTGTGGGGGCAGAACTAGGGCTGCATAGTGACTCTGTGGGTCCCAGGTGTGTGTGACTTTTGGGGTCTTTCCTCTATGAAAAATATGAATGACAGCAGGCTAACGCACAGGAATATATTAACAGAATAGGGAAGCATGTTCTTCCACGTAAAAGCTCATTTTTTCCCTCTCTGTTTTTAAGCAAAATTTAAAATTTCTTGTGGGTCCCCAGGACCCTACTGAGGTCAGGCCAGGGCAGAACCAAGACGCACCCCAGCAGTCTGGCGCCAGAGTCCCCGTGGTTAACCCGTGACCTCCCTGGCTCCGGGACTACGGAGCCTGGGACTCACCTGGCTGGGTCAGCCTCGTCTAAGGCAGGGTGTGGCTGTGGGCTTGGCCCCATAACACTGTGCGCATTTGAGGCACTAGGGGCCTACCCAAAATATTCACTAAGGGCTCAGCCCCCCCCCCCCCATGTGTTTTCTCTAGAATGTCCTGCTCCAAACCTGCAGTAGGGACAGTAAGGACATTCGCTCCGGATTCACGGGGTCCTCCCCAAATCCCCAGAAGCAGGGGCTGTTTCTGCGCCCATTTCTCAGATGCTAACAGGGAAAGTCAGACTTGGTCCGCCTGCACTGGAGCTGGCGTCCAGGGGGTGGCTCGAGCGGCCGTCTGCTGACCTGGCCTTTGCTCCCTTTTGAAGGCTGCGTTCAGCGTCCTGGACTTCGTCCCCTTCCTCTTCAACCAGCCGCCGCCGGAGAGCCTCTGGGTGTCCACCGACCACACCTTCCGCTGGGAGCTGAGCCTCACCTCGCGTACCTGCCGCCTGCTGCCCGCGCAGCGCCCCCGCGTGGCCGGCGCGCTGGCGGCAGGGGCGCTGCAGCTGCTGGCCGGCTGCACGGTGCTGCTGGACGCCTACGCGCGGCGCCTGCGACACGCCACCGCCGCCGCCTTCTTCGCCGCGCAGGAGGCCAGGAGGGCCCGCCACCTCCACGCCCGCCTGCAGCGCACGTACGACGGGCGCCGAAGCCGGCAGCTGCGCCCGCAAGCTCCCTCTTGCCCCCGACAGCTCAGCGCACCTGCAAGCCCCAGCGGTGGGTAGACGCGCTGGCCTCCAGCTGCACGCCTCCAGGAAGCACGGGCCGATGGGGTTGCGGAGGCTGAGGGCAGCAAGAGCTTTGGACCTTGAGAGCTTGTTTGGAGGTTCTAGCAGGGGAGTGCAGCTACTCGTATACCCTTGACCGAAGACCGGTCCTCCTCTAGCGGGGATGGTCGTCCTCTTCGACCGAGCGCGCAGCTTCGGGAGGGACGCACATGGAGCGGTGAGGGAGGAAGGGGACACCCGCCTAGCCAGTCAGATCAGCCGAATCAACCCTGGCGATCAATGGGGTGACAGATGTCGCAGCCAGATCGCCCTCACATCCGGCAGCAAGAGCTTTGGGGCCACCCAGACCTGAGCTGCCGCCTTGGCCCTTCTGCTGCCTGCCTGTGTGACCTCGGGTAGGTGCCGTCACCTCTCGGGGCCTCAGGCTGTGCCTGTGTGTGATGACTGTAATCAGAATCAGTGTGAGCCGCTTCCCACGGGGGAAGGTGGCCAGCGTGGGAGAGAGACGGGCGGGAAAGCCCGGGAGAGCGGAGGAGGCAGGCAGGTGCAGAAACAGCTCCTCCTCCAGCGGGCGTCTTCCCGCCCGCCGCCTTACCCGCTGGCTGAAGGCTTCGCAGCACGGAATTTATTTATATGCCCTTGAATCCGCCGGACTTGCTTGTAGTCATCTAAAAGTTTGATTTTATCAACACACGTATTTATTAAATCTGAAACTGGATTATATTGCTCCTCAACTTCAGGCTCTTCAGGGTTTCCCATCTGGGACAGCCAGAGTTGGCAGATGAAAAGCCAAGACGCCCAGTTCCATTCGGATTTCCGATCAGCGATGGGCACTGGCTTAGCGTAGCTGTGACCTGACCCGGGGTAGCCACGTGTAACCCACTGTGTACCTGGGGCTCCGCATCTTTTACTTATTTATCCATTGTCAGTTTTCATTTTATTTGAGAGCGCGAGAGAGATCTTTCATCCACTGGTTCACTCTCCCAAATTCCCACAGCAGCCAGGGCTGAGCCAGGTTAGATCTAGGAGCCCAGAACTCCATCCTGGTCCCTCGTGGGTGGCTGGGACCCGAGTCCTTGAGCCGTCACTGCTGCCTCCCAGGGCGCACAGTAGCAGGAAGCTGGATTGGAAGTGGAGGAACCAGGACTCCAGCCAGGCCCTCAGATCTGGGACGTGGGCATCCTGAGCGGTGTCGACATCTTGGAAATGAGGCTCCTGTCAGGCTTGCCAACAGAAAGAGCAGCAGGGGACACCAAGCCTCTGCTTCCTTCCAGATCTCGCACACACAGGGACAGCGGACTGGCGGGAATGAGTCGCACTCAACTCTCCCGCTGCCGCTGGAGTCTGCATCCAAACAGACTGCGACCCTTTTCAGCCATCACGCACAGGGTGCGCTTTGCAACCCAGGGCAAGTGCACACACCTGAAAGAAGGATTTCATTGACCTCCCTTGGTCTTAATATGTGTGATGCATGTGATTTTTTTTTAAAGATTTATTTATTTATTTGTAAATCAGAGCTACACAGAGAGAGGAGAGGCAGAGAGAGAAAGAGAGAGGTCCTCCAGTTGGCTCACTCCCCAACTGGCCACAATGGCCAGAGCTGGGCCTACCCAAAGCCAAGAGCCTGGAGCTTCTTCCGGGTCTCCCATGCGGGAGAGCTGATTGGAAGTGGAGCAGCCGGGACTCGAACCGGCGTCCATATGGGATGCCGGCACTGCAGGCGGAGGCTTTACCTGCTACGCCACAGCACCGGCCTGACACCGTGACGTTTTCTATCCGATCCAGTCCTGCCCTATTCTACCGTTTCCCCTTTAAGCACCTATGCAGGATCGTATTCTCTCCGGTTTCCTTGAAGAAGCTACTGGCAGGGCCTCACTCCCTTGAAAGCCCCGGGGAGCAGGAGGGTGGAATGTGGATCCCACACGCCCGCGGGGTGGATCCCTCTGCAAGGACAGAGTGCGCTGGTAGCCCTCTGACTGCAGGGAGGGACGCGCTGATGCGCTTGGACGCAACCTCTTTACTGGCACCCATGTCCAGAGGGGCTAGGGCGTTCATGGAGATGGGGAGAGGCAGGTGTGGCGCCCCTTGCTCTCTGCCTCCCCACCTCCCAGGTATTTTCAGGCTGAGTCAGCAGCCATGGGCGCCCCTGTTCTCCCCACCCTGTGTCTCTGAGGGTGACCCCAGCCTCCCCGACACTCGTGCCCCCAGTGCTGCTCCCTCTCCCTCAGGCTGCCCTCATGGTTGTTGAGGCAGAGATTCATCCACACATTTTTAAATGATACGAGGAATACATGAATCCTCCCTTATACAAATTGGAGCATTGGGGCCGGTGCTGTGGCGTAGCCAGTAAAGCCACCACCTGCAGTGCCGGCATTCCATATGGACGCTGGTTGGAGTCCTGACTGCTCTACTTCCTGTCCGGCTCTCTGCTATGGCCTGGGAAAGCAGTGGAAGATGACCCAAGTCCTTGGGCCCCTGCACCCACGTGGGAGACCCGGAAGAAGCTCCTGTCTCCTGGCTTCGGATCAGTACAGCTCCAGCCATTGCAGCCAATTGGGGAGTGACCCAGCAGATGAAAGACCTCCCTCTCTCTCTCTCTCTTTCTCTCTGTCTCTCCTTCTCCCTGTGTGTAACTCTGACTTTCAAATAAATAAATAAATCATTTTTAAAAATTGGAGCATTGCAGATAATAAAGGCCAGTGCTTGTTGGGTGTTTCTGATATGCTGGGAGTGTGCTCAGAAGTGAATAACCGCTTCTTTAAAAAAAAAATCCTCGTTTGTAGAGTTTTCCGATTTCCGTGGTATAAATAAGTACTCCCAATGCGGGACATCAGGCTGTCCACGGGACGTCCCGGGAGGCGGGGTAGGGAAGACAGGCTCACGGCCGACTTTCAGCAGCCGGGCTGAACCAGAACTCAGCATGAAGCTCTGTGAGAGCCGTCTGATCCGAGCCTCACAGACTCATGGTAGACAGGTGGTCTAATAGCCTGTGTTTGCTACTCTAGCAAAATGCCCGGGGCAGGCTACTCCATAAAGCAGAGGCCTACCTCGGCGTGGGGTGCTGCAGGGCCAGGGTCGAGGGCTGTGTCTGCTGGTGGTCTTCTTGCTGGCAGAGTCCCAGGGCAGCCCAGGGCATCACATGGCAAGAGGCTGGGAGCCTGTGTGTGTGTGTGATTGTGAGAGTGGGTGTGAGACTGTGTGATTGTATGAGTGTGTGTGATTGTGTGTGAGTATGAGTCTGTGTGTGAGTATGTGTGTGACTGTATGAGTGTGTTTGGGTGTATGAGTGTATATACGTGTGTGATTGAATGTGAGAGTGTGTGATTGTATGAGTGTGTGTGAGTATATGAGTCTGTGTGAGTGTGTGTGTGACTGTATGAGTGTGTGCATGTGTGTGTGATTGTATGTGTGATTGTATGAGTGTGTGTATGAGTGCATGTATGTGTGTGTGATTTTATGAGTGTGTATATATGTGTGATTGTATGAGTGTGTGTTTGGGTGTATGAGTGTATATACATGTGTGATTGAATGTGAGTGTGTGTGATTGTATGAGTGTGTGGTGTGTGTATGTATGTGATTGTATGTGTGATTGTATGAGTGTGTGTATGAGTGCATGTATGTGTGTGTGATTTTATGAGTGTGTATATATGTGTGACTGTATGAGTGTGTGGGTGTATGAGTGTATATACGTGTGTGATTGAATGTGAGAGTGTGTGATTGTATGAGTGTGTGAGTGCATATATGTGTGTGATCATGTGAGCGTGTGTGTGTGATCGTATGAGTGTGTATGTATGAGTATGAGTGTATGTAAGTGTGAGTGTGTGTCTGGTCTCCCTCTGTTTGTAAAGCTACCAGGATCCAATCTCGGGGCCCCTCTCTAACTACCTTACCAGATCCCTAGCACTCCCCAAGGCCCCACCCTTACACGCCTCAGTTGGGCTGATTTTCCATCCTCTTAGCACCTCACAGGGAGGATCAGTGTTCAGCCCACGAAGCCTGGGGACGCTCACACCACAGCCACAGCACGGCAGCAGGACACTGGCTGAGGGCTGCCCTCCCTCGGCCTCTCCAGTCTGCCCTTCGCTGGAGTTGGTGCCAGGTCACCTGCGAGTGCTGGCAGCAGGGGGCCGTGGCCCTGTGGGAACTGACAGGGCACAGTGGGTGTGAGCAGGGCTCCCACGGCTTCCTGGAAGGGGAGTCAGGAAGGAAAGGGACCAAGCGAGAAGGCCAAGTGCCCTGCGGGCGCCTCGTGACCCACCTGGAAAAAAGCGCCAGTGCTGGCCTCCACGCCCCGCTCTGCCGGCTGGGCACTGCCGGCATGGAGCACTGCCGGCTGGGCACTGACAGCGGCTGTCAGCTCTGTTGGCTGGGCCTGGCTGGGAAGCTCTCACTTGGGGTTTCTCATGTGGATACAGGCAGAGAGTGGCAGGGGCTGGAACTGTTCCAAGTGCTGACGGGACAGGACATCCGTGACGGCGTCTACGTCCTCAGAGCAGCCTGAACCTCTCTCATGGCGACCTGGGGGTCCTGAGGGCGGGCAGCAGGAACTGCAGGGCCTGGAACCGGCACCGCCTCCACATCTGGACTCGGCTTCCACCCAAGGGGTCCCAGCGCCCCTCCCCCACCCCGCCTCTCAGGGGAGCGGAGAAAAAGCCCCGCCCACCTCTTGATGGGCAGTCACATGCATCCTT